AAAAAAAAAAAGATACAGAAAATAAAACAAGATAGATCTTTTAAAATGCTGACATCGAATTCTATTCACAGTGAATAAAGCAGGTTACAGAACAGTGTGTATACTATATCCTCATTACATTTAAAAAAAAAAGAAAAAACTGTAATTGTATATTAAGTCACCAGAAAGAAATGTACAACAAATTATTAATATTAATGGTTATCTCTCACATAGAAATTACAGAAAAGCACTTACTTCTCTATATTATTAGGAATTTGAACAATAATCTTACTACAAAAAAGGAATACCAATGTTTCTTCAGGAAAAACAAGCAAAGAAAGAAGCAAAGGAGAAAATAATGAAATGAAGTTAAAAAGGTATTTAGCAGTAGTAGAATACTTATGAAATATACTGGACATTTTAGATTGGCTAATTATAGAACAACCAACATCTACACTCACTATACCAGGGACCTCAAACTAGTTATCTGTATAACAAGAAGACCAAATAATTTAACAACTACGTTCAAAATACCAAACAACTTGGCCAGGTGCAATGGCTGACACCTGTAATCCCAGCACTCTGAGAGGCCGAGGCAGGCAGATCACAAGGTCAAGAGATCGAGACCATTCTGGCCAACATGGTAAAACCCTGTCTCTACTAAAAATACAAAAAATTAGCTGGGGGCTGTGGCATGTACCTGTAGTCCCAGCTACTCGGGAGGCTGAGGCAGGAGAATTACTTAAAGCCAGGGGGCGGAGGTTGCGGTGAGCCAAGATTGCACCACTGTACTCCAGCCTGAGCAACTGAGCGAGACTCCAACTCAAAAAAAAAAGAAAGTTTCACTTCTCCATTAATAAGATCTGAAAGAATAAGACTCTATTAATGCCCACCCAAAAAATTCAAAAGAAAGGGTTCAAATTACATTAAACATAAAATTTTCAATTTCTTTGGAATAGCCAGAATGTTCCATAGAAGGAATGTAACACACAGAAGTCCTCAAGTAGTATCATGTGCTTACAATATGAAA